TGGGTTAGATTCCATTTCATATTTTGTCGGTTGATTTTTGGTTTTAACTCTATGATTTTTGGTATTATTTATTATTGTAGCGCAAAAAACTAATACCAGATATATGGTCACTCTCGGTTTCGCATAAAAAAAATAAAAAAATTGAAAAATTACACGTTGTGTAAGTGATTTAACCTAAAAGTGCCCATACATTTTTTACTCATCGTGATTTTTGTGTGTTTTTTAAGACTCTAACAATTCATCAACAAAGCTTAAGTGGAGTGTGTTTTTGGTGCTATGCCTCATCTTTGTTGTTCCTGGTGGAAAGGATAGTTATACTAGGCAGCCTAAAGTGTCCGGAAGAGCAAGAAAAGTGGGTACGAGTTATAAATCAAGAGAATTCTATTGAAAATATCTTTAATAAATTTAAAAATAATATTCTCCCATGATGGTATTAATGAAAACTGGACAATTATGTTTATTTTATTCATATTGTGGAATCTCCACTCCAAGTGTTGTTGGTTCAGCTTCGATAGATTCAAATACGTAAGTAGGTATTATGATCTAGGGAAAAATAAAGAATATATGTATTAAAGATCATGAAAAAGATTATTATTTTGAGTTCAAATTTTAAAAAAGATTTTTGTAAAGACAAGACTGATACAGTTTAAAAGAAGAATGTGTTTTTGTTTGATAATATATAATGCAAAGATATAATGTATGTCAAGTTGTCAAGCATAACATATATTTTTGTCCAGTAATTTTTAATGAATAGTGTTGATTATTTATAATACCAAATTAATATCCAATATTTAAGTGATGGCTGAATACAGTATGAATAAAATAACAATAAAATTGGTATATTTGCATAATACAAAATTAAGTTTTAAGAATAAAGGTGTACTAAAAAAACAAAGAAATTCATATTTCTTTGTTTTAATTGGTCTAATGTTATGTACATTTTACGTAAGAATTATACCGTATCATCGAAAAAAATCGGCGTCTAGTTGGCTTGGAAATGAACATCGATGACATTCCCTAAATAACTGTACACATAAAATAATTAACTAGAATTATACAATCTTGGAAAATTTGATATTCTTGAACCTTGTTTCTAAATATTCTAAATTTTTTGATTTTCTTAAGGATTTAGGTTCGGGAAAAACGCTGATTAAGTTTTCATTTGGTTTTCATTTTTTTATTTGGTTTAAAAAAAAAACGTTTCGGCTAACATTATAGCCTTCATCAGTGTTGTGTCATATGAAAAAAAATAGTGTCGAATATAATTCAAAAATTACATATAAAATATTCACACCACACACATAATGTTTACTGCGTACTCCATAGTCAATGTAGATAATTTTAGTGTTAAGAATAATAATTTTAAAAAATATGTGGTCATCTTTTGATAAGTTTATATTAGTTTATTAATTGCAGTAAACATTATGAGGTGTGAATTATATTGTATATGTAATTTTTTGGATTATATTCGACACTATTTTTCTCATATGACACAACACTGATGAAGGCTATAGTTAGCCGAAACGTTTTTTTAAACCAAATAAAAATAATGAAAACTTAAATCAGCGTTTTTCCCGAACCTAAAAATCCCAAGAAAATCAAAAATTTTAGAATAATTTTACTTAATAAATGCCAGCGATCTTCATTTCATACCCATCGCTGACGCCTTTTTTTAGATAATATTGTATTATTTGTAAATATAATTTTTCGAACATTGATACTTGCAAAATATACATATAAATTTTGTGTTTGTAGTGTTCTACTCAGTATTATTGTTAAATGTAACGGAATGTTCAAGAAATATAGCATCATTACTATGGATTAACAGATCAACGAAGTGTTTTGTTATTCACTCTCGTCGTTCCCTTAAAAAAGTAAGGAAAGGTGGCCCTTCAAAGAATGAAAAAGCACGATTCTACAATTAATAAAGAAACAACTAAATTATTAATTATTATAAAAACATGAGGATTAATAAGAAGCGGTAGCATCCATCTTTATGGTCAAATTTAAGGAATTTATTTTAATTCGGTCCATCATCTCTATCTATAAATTTTAGTCGGATTTGGTTAAAGTTTTAGCCGAGCTCAGAACTGGTTTTAATGGAAGAGAGAGTGTCATCGGTAAACGGCTGCATATTTTGCATAGAATAAATAATAAATATGCAAATTTGAGCAAATTTACTCGGAGCGATAAGCAAAAGCAGCGAATCGACCTTTTAACGGTCCAGTGCCCCTTCAAGAAGAATCACTGGATAGATTTATCTTCAGAAGGTCGTCCGACGCCCATGATTTTATAAATAGGTTTTCTAAAGTGTTTAAAAATAGAGAATAAATTTAAACACCAGTTTTACATAAAAAAGTGTAGGTAATGTATTTTTTATTATAATGTCCCAGAATCCCAGTAGCACACAGGGTTTTTCCCACAGTCCGTTTATTGAAAGTTTTTTGATCTAATTTTGATAGAAATTTGAACTTTATTGTAAAGGGTGGGCCAAATTGGACACTGTTAAACACCCTTTTCTAAAGGAGATAGACGAAAACTAATATCGGTGTCTGGAGCTCAATTTTTATTAAAAACATGACTGTTTTACAGTCATGTTTTTAATAAAAATTGAAACGGTAACAGATATCGATGTGTGATTTTTAATCACACATCGATATCTGTTACCGTTTCGAAGTTATGGAGTGTTTTTCAAAAATGTGCATTTTTAACAAATCGCTGTAACTTTTTTGCTATATACAGGGTGGTCCAAACTGTATTCCGGAAACTTTTTCAGCATATTCTGGAGGTAAAAATAGGTAAAAAAGTTCTTATAAATGTATGTCCTGAAATGCTTAGTTTCGGATATACAGGGTGTGCAAGTTTCATATTTATTTTGATTTTTTCTTAATGAATCCTTGAATTATTTATGAATTAACGTCAATATTTGGATGAATATTGGTGTCTCGGACTTTTTTGACATGAGAAATTGGATTTTGATATCAATGTGGCTCCTACTTGTAGAGGACGCCACCTACGTAAAACTAGTGGGTAAAAAAATATAAATTTCCGTGACTTGAAAATTGCGAGTAATGGTTCTCGAGATATTTTAATGATGATTGACATAATTAAACATGTTGACTAAATAGTTATTAGACTGAAATCATAAATTTGAAATATTTTGTGCCAAAAGTTCAACAGAAACTGTTTTATCATCATTTTTTTGCAGAAAAATTTATAATTAATTTAATAAGATAAGAATTTTTCAAATTTATTATTTCAGTCAAATAACTATCTACTCAACGTGGTTATTTTTTTGTCAATAATGACATGTATTGACTTAAATCTCCATCTTAAATATCTTGAGAACGATTGCTCGTAGCGATTTTTGCCAAGAAACATTTTTTACGTAAGAAGTCACGGAAATATATATTTTTCACTCAGTAGTTTTATACAGGTACGGACGAAAAGTTATTACTCTTCAAACCGGTTAAACCATATGTAGGTGGCGCCCCCTATAAATAGGAGTCATATTGACATCGAAATCAAATTTTTCATGTCAAAAAAAACAGACACCAGTTTTCATCCAAATATTGACGTTACTTCAGAAATTATTAGGAAAAAATCTAAATAAAAATGAAATTTCTACACCCTGTATCTCCGAAACTAAGCATTTTAGGACATACATTTATACGAACTTTTTTACTTATTTTTACCTCCAGAATATGCTGAAAAAGTTTCCGGAATACAGTTCGGACCACCCTGTATATAGCAAAAAAGTATATATTTTTTTAAATTAATAATTAAAAAGTTATCAAGGGAAAAATTGGTTTTTTATTTGTGACACCCTGTATGTTTTTAATTTACTTAGAATAACTTAAAATTACCTTTCCAAAAATATACCACACTTGATATTTTGTTTGAGTCCTTTTCGAAATAGAGAATTTTTAAAAGTTCGCTACTTTTAACTAGTAGGTTTTGGATCCTTTATTGATGATCTGCCCCTAATGGAACTCGAAAACATATTTTTTCCAGCAAGACGAAGCACCGCCTCACAACGCTAAAATTATAAGCAATTTTTTGCAGCCAATTTCGAGAATAATTATTAAGTAGCTAACCAAGATCCCAGTCGTTGGCCGTCGAGACGGCCGGACTTAGCACATATGGATTTTTACTTTGAGGAAGACTAAAAGTCTTTATTTTTAAATTACCCGTATACCCTAGACAAAAATTAGAAGTACATAGCGGTTATGCGGAAGTATCTTTCATCCCTACTGAGTTAATGAATTCCGCGAGAAATATTCAGAAACGGTCCCGTCTGTGCATAAGAGAAGACGGTAGACGGACATTTCGAACACCTTCTGTAGCAAAATCTCGTGTCTTGGTTTGCTATTTATTATTATCGTTATTAAATATTGTTTAAATACATTTTTGTTGTTAAATATAGTTTAAAATGTTATAAAATTCTGTATCTTTGATTGCAAATATTATTTTCGTTTTAATTGCTGCTGACGGTTACCGGCAAATTTTTTTTCTGTATTCAAAGCCTACTTATTCTAAGTAGGCGAATATTTAAAAAGTCTATATCTCGAAGTGGAATCGAGCAAAATATCAAGTAGGTATGCTATATTTTTGGAAAGGCAATTCTTTTCCAAGTTATCTACTTATAACTTGGATGCACCGTATACTGATGAAGGCCATAACCATGTCTGCTGTTGATCCCTCTCTCTAGCAGACTATGCAGATTTTTGCTGGCTTTTATTGTTGTAGAATATATCTAGAGCCCGAGATTTAAAATAAACATATTGGTACTTAATAAAGTGGTAGCCAGTTAAGTGGAAACTACTTAAAAAAGAAAGTACACCTTGAAATATGTTAAATTGAAACAGTCTAATTTGAATTTAAATTCGAATGAAATGAACAGTGTTCGAAACTTTATTGTTTGTTTTGGTTTCATGATTTATGATAATTTCATATTAGGTATTTGTTAAATATTATTTATTATTTCTTTGTTATATTAGGTAATTATAGTGCCACATTCCCATAACGATCCTGGTTGGCTCAAGACTTTCGAAAGCTACTTTCACGTGTCATCGCGTCAAATCATGAGCAACATGGTTGCTAAACTGCAAGAATACAAGAACCTAACGTTCATTTGGTCCGAGATATCATTCCTGAACGCTTGGTGGGAAGAAGCGCATCCCAGCAAGCAGAGGGCGCTGAAAGAACTAGTGGATTCAGGCCGATTGGAAATTACTACTGGCGGATGGGTGATGACTGATGAAGCTGACGTACATTTGTATGCCATGGTTGATCAGCTCATAGAAGGTACAGGAAAAATCATAGTAAAATTCTTACAATAACAATTTCATATATTATTTATCAGATAAATAAAGGACATTTAGTACGTTAGTTTGTATGTATGGTTGTTTCTTACTCTTTCACGCAAAAACTACTGAATGGATTTTAATGTAACTTTACAGTAATATAGCTTATACATCAGAATAACACATAGGTTATAATTTATAACGATATTGTGCGAGTTGTCCAAAATTTAACAAAAATATTGAAAAATAACACACGGTTCGGTTAAATTCTGCCAAAAGACTATCTTTATTCAATAGACTATCAATTACAACTAGACACATGTAATAGGTACTTTCAAATATTACCACTAGGTGCTATAATAAATATTACACTTTATATTAATAAAATTCGAATTTTATGCGGACGAAGTCGCGGGATAAAACTAGTATGGCATAAATCAGGATTATTTGACGTATTCAGCTATTCTTTGTCACTTCCTATTTTAACGGAAATTACTACAACTTTTGATTTTTAAACCGCACTTTCGGTCATTTTACTTTATTCAATAGAAAATGATTCTGATTAGAATGACATATCATATATCAACTTTTGACATTCTTTCTAGACTTATGACATTTCAATCTAGAGTACCACGGCTGTGTTTAAAAACACGAATTTTTAATCAAGGAGCCTTGGAAAAATAGAATTGATAGTCTAGTGTCTTGTCCTGGTCGGCTAAAAGATGACCAAATCGTATTTTTAATCATAACTCAATTTTTTTCAAATAAAACGAGGGTGGCTCATTAGCATATTTGGAAAAAGCATTTTTTTACAAATAATTTGGCACCACACACTTGGAATTTCGATCTTCAAATTGTTGTTACATTATTATTACTCTTAATTGAGATTTTAAATGCTATTTTTTTTAATTGAAAATATCAAAAGTTGACACATGATATGTCATTCTATCTAGTATGTAATTTTCTATTACATGAAGAAAAAATAATACGGAGGGTGTCACTTAAAAATCAAAGTAATCATTTCCGGTGAAACAGGAAGTGACCGAAAACAGTTGAATATGGCAATCAATTCTAATTTTTCTTATATACTAACACGTCAAATCTCATTTTTTTATCTGAAAAAATAATAAAGTTATAGAGGTGAGCCACTGTTGAGAAACACCCGCTATGCTTTTGAACAATATAATTATACTCCTATAATCTATACTTCTTTTTTCGTTTCTCCTAGTCATAGAAATTCAAGAAAAAATAAAAATAAAAATAAATCTGTTCTTCACAAATTTTTAACCTACCCTCATCATCATAAATCACCCTGGATATTTAGACATCATATTTCTGAAGAGGCTTTTTCCAAATTATCATTTCATCAGAAATCTAGATTATATTTTTATCATAACATAACTAATTATAATAATTATTAAAAATTATCTCAAAAAATATCTAATATTTACAGTTAAGAACATACATATAAAAATTGCAATAATTTTTCTTAATTTCCGAAGTGAAATTTAATCTAAAATATATTCTTAATTTATTTATTAACAGGTCATCAATGGTTATGGACAAATTTGGGCGTTAAACCCAAATCAGGATGGTCAGTAGATCCCTTTGGTCACGGCAGTACAGTCCCTTATCTTCTAGGGGCCTCAGGTTTGAAAGGAACTGTCATTCAGAGAATACACTATGCTTGGAAACAGTGGTTAGCTTTAAAACAATACGGCGATTTTCGATGGGTACCTAGTTGGAACTCTGGCGACAATGCCGGATCGATTTTAACTCATAATCAACCATTCGACATTTACTCTATTAAGCATAGTTGTGGGCCGCATCCTTATATTTGCTTAAATTTCGATTTTCGAAAAGTACAGGGAGAATATACTGAGTATTCCTTACATTCGCAGGCAATAACTGAAAAGAACGTGAAAGAAAAAGCTGAACTACTTTTAGAACAGTACGCTAGAACTGGGTCTCTGTTTCCTCATAACGTAGTTTTGATGCCTCTCGGTGACGACTTTAGGTATAATCTCCGAGAAGAATTTGACCAGCAATACTTAAATTACATACAACTTATAAACTACATTAATGCTCACAAAGAACAATATAGAGCTGAAGTTAGTTTTGGAACGCCTAGCGCGTACTTTGATGAAATCTTGAAAAGGTATGATCAATTTCCGTCTCTAAAAGGTGACTTTTTTGTTTACTCAGATATTTTCTCGGAGGGCAGGCCAGCTTATTGGTCGGGATATTTTACTACAAGACCGTTCTTAAAAACACTAAACAGGGAATTGGAGCATAGCTTACGATCGGCTGAAATTCTTTATACCGTAGCCTTAAACAACGCTAGACAGCAAAGATTGCTGGCTTATTTGAAATTATTAGAAAAAGATTACGAAAAACTCATACGAGCTAGAAGAAATTTAGGTTTATTTCAACATCACGATGCGATTACAGGAACCAGCAAATCTTTTGTTATGAAGGATTACGGAATAAAACTTTTTGAAGCTTTACGAGATACTGTTAGTATTCAACAAAATTCTCTACAAAGTCTATTATTTCCGAAAGTCCATGTAAGTAAAGATAATAACCTAGTTCTTAGTGATCTTGAAAGGGAGTCATATGATAAGTTGCCTAACAAAAGTAATATTCAGATAGGAGGAAAACAGAAGAGAAAAATTGTTGTTTTTAATCCACTTGCATATTTTCAAGAATATGTAATTACGCTTACCGTTAACACTACTAATATTAAAGTGACAGATTCTAGTGGGAATGACATTGAATACCAAATCAACCCTATTCTAGTAGCTAGATTAGGAAAATATTGGATAGAATCGAACGAGTTTGAGATTATTTTTATAGCTAAACTGGAAGCGCTAACTGTTACGAGTTTTTATTTAGAACATTCAGAAAATGCAAAAGAAAAATTGGCGACATTGTATTGTAAGAATTGCAAGAAAAATACTCAAATTTTGTCTGACGGTAGCAAATCTGAAGCGCCATTCGTCATTAAGGATATTCCTCCCAGTGACATTCAGCTAGAGAACCACAAAATGAAACTGCTGTTTAGCGGAACTACCGGGTTTATGAAATCGGTTACGAGAAAGCATAAACCGAAAGTAATGCAGTGCAAAATTCAGTTTGCTGCTTACAGGAGTGCTCAGTTCCATTCAGGCGCGTATTTGTTCATGCCCGATCCTAACGAGCGAGATTACGAGAAGGATGTGTTATTGCAGTACAAAGATCAAATGTCTGTGATAATAACAACCGGACCAGTAACGACCGAATTACTGACAATATACGGACCGTTCCTGCTTCACAAAGTCACAATCTATTTAGATGAAAAATCTACGCTGTCCGATGCGATCAGTATAGAGAACGTCGTTGATTTCGAGAGTCCGCCTAAAAATCGCGAAACCGAACTTTTCATGCGAGTTATTTCGGACGTTCAGAACGGGGAACCGCCCGAATTCTTCACAGACTCCAATGGTTTTAACATGCAAAAGAGAGTGAAAATTGAACGTATTGGCATTGAAGGCAACTACTTTCCTATCACGACGATGGCGTACATTCAAGACGAACATATCCGGTTGAGTTTACTTACCAATCATGCCCAGGGAGCGGCAGCATGGCAGCCGGGATTCTTGGAGGTAATGCTGGATAGAAGAACTTTGTATGATGATTCGCGGGGAATGGGCGAAGGCTTAGTCGATAACAGGAGAACGGCGAGCAAGTACTGGCTTCTTGTTGAAGACGTCACGAAGGTTCCGGTTGATAGCGTCGTGCAGCCAAAGAGATTCGATGAAGATGATACATTTGAAAAAGGTTGGTACAGCTATTTTATTACGTTTATTTTTAATCTGTGGTATTCTAACACATTTTCCTTTTTCCTTAGAATCTTGGTAACATTATTCCTTCGTAAAATTATAATTATCTATTTTCTGTTTTTTTACTTAGTAAAGAGTTAAGTAGACAATAATATAATAATACAGGGTGTTTTAAAAAACATGTGCTATCTCTCGTGGGGAAATTTTTCATGTAAAAATTAGATTTATTTTTCAGATCAATACAGGTCCGATTCTGCTTTGTTTCGTAACTACAGCGGGTTCAAGGCTTAATTTTTTTTTTCGATTTGTTACAATTTTCTTCCAAATTGTTTTTCTTCTAACTTTTAGCTGTCGTTGAATACTTTTAGCTGTCGTTGTATTCGAATGAATATTTGAGGGTAAAAGTTAGTATAAGTGTTATATATTTTATAGCACTAAAAAAGTGTCGACAGATTGACCAGGGGCGTGCGTATGGGTTAATACTGGAATATATTTGCGAAAAATATGTGCGCCATTGATGTTTTTCTCTTGTTAGGAAAATTGTATAAGCCATTTAATACCGACTAAAAGTTTTATCTTGATATTTTGTCAATTTCGATCTCCTTCACGCAATTTTATTAATCTTAATAATTTAAATTAAAATAAAAATTATAAACTGATAAATTATTTATTTAATCTATTTTATTATTAAAATTTATAATACTGTTTTTCAATGCTACCTACCGCAAATTCAAGAAAAAATAATGGAATTTAATATAATTACAAAAGACCTATTTTTTAAGTTTTAACATCCTGTAAATTTAAAACTAATCATTTCATACCCTTGTTTATACGATCTTTTTTTCATATTTTTTTATTAGAAATCAATAAGCACTTATTTAACACCAATTGGCCAATTAATGACATTAAATTTTTTTAACGGTTGGTATTAGTCTTGCATTAAGGCAAATTAATAGAATTGTGTTTATCTTATCAAGGAGACTGTAATTGACAAAATATCAAGAGACAACTTTTAATCGGCATTAAATGATCTACACAATTGTGCTAACAAGAGAAAAAAGTCAGTGGCGCACAGTTTTTTTGAAACATATTCCAGTGATAACCCATATGCACGTCCCTGGTGAATATGTCGACACATTTTTAGCATTAAAATATGTCGTACTTATTGTAACTTTTACCCTCAAAGTTTAATTCGTATCGCTAGAAGCACTTGGAAGAAAATGATAATAAATCGAAAACAAATGAAGACTTTAACGCTCTGTAGCTACGAAACAAAGCAGAATCGGACCTATGTTGATATGAAAAATAAATCTTATTTTTACGAGAGAAATCTCCCCACGAGAGATGGCATATGTTTTTTTAAACACCCGATACATATAAGCAAGTAAGTAATGTAATAAGACTTCGACATTCCTTCACTGATGCGGAAGAAGTAACATCACAATTTTTTTTTCATCTGCGCCTGTACTCTAGAGGTCTAGGACGGTTCAGAATCGGTCATAACAAAAACCTGAAGATTAGCTATCATAGAAAACATATCAGTGAAAGGTTCTGTTCTGGAAAGCAACTTTAATATGAGTGATGGTAAAGCATTATTTGGGTACATTTATTAGCTTTTTATTTTAGTAGATTTTTGTTGGATCAGGAAGATATAACATCATATAATATGGGGTTTTACACTGTTCATATTGCCTCTTAAATTTATGTAGCTGTTTATTTCATTTTTCCAAGGATTGTATTGAAGTAAACAAACAAACAAACAAAAGAGAATACAAAACAAGTATACAAATTACATTACATTGTCAGTCTTATTGTTTAAACATTTATAAATGTTTACAATGTCAAAGAATAAAAAAAGTAAGGTTCAAAAATATTTTGAAAGTTTATAGTAAATATAGTAATAGCAAATATTAGACGGCGTAGAAAGCCTTGTCTAGTAAATAAGATTTCAATGCTTTGCGAAATGAAGAAAATGAGGTTATGGATTTGATTTCAAATGGCAGGTGATTGTGCATTTTTTTCGAGTTGTATACTATTGAACTTTTAACTAACTCTGAGCGTGGGATAGTAGATAAAGATCATGCTCCGCGTTCCTGAGTGGATAAGTGTGAGATGGCCCTTCTTGAGAAGCTGATACATGCTTACGTATTAGGCAAACGGATTCAAAAATATAAATAAGGAAGGAAGAGTTAATATTTTTAATTTTTTAAAAAAGTCCTGGCAATGAGTTCTGCTGTTTAGTCCCAGTGAATATCGAACAGCTCTCTTCTGGAGCTTGAAAATGGGGTCAAATTGAGTCGCACAACGCGGACCCCAGAGTGGAGGGCATATCTGAGGTGCGACTCAAAAAGTGCATAATAAACAGTTCTAGCCACCGACAAGTAAAGCTCCTTAAAAACAGATCTTAACGCAAAACAGGCAGAGCTTAATTTTTTCGACAAAGCGTCGATATGCATGTCCCATTTTAGAGAATTGTCTACAACAAGCCCTAAGAGTTTTACAGATTTTACGACGTCAATGATGGTGTTGTTAAGTACAAAAGGCTGCAGCGAGTTTTTATACGACAAAACTTTAGTTTTAGAAATATTGAGACTCAACATACACATACAAACATTTAGCATTGCCTTTTTGGACACGGCCTCACTTTTTTATGCTTCAAGTACGCGATTGTCAGATGCTACACATTGACTACATACAGTTTCATTGCCAATTGTGAACTTGAACCATCTCTTAACATTGACAATAAAACGAACTGCCAACGTCCCTACGAACAGATTTTATAAATTTGCTTGTATATTTCACACTATTAAACATTTGTTTCAACAGAATCCCAAGTGACCTTAATGCTTTAATGAAACACAAATAAATAAACTAACACTTTTATAAGTCTTTGTAGACGATTTGATATCCGCATAAAGTCTAACATTGTTTTTTTAGGTGAAGTTATTCGTTCATTCAACGTTCCCACTGCTCCAGTCGATCCTCCAAAACAAGATTCATTTCCCAGACCCTCGTTATATGCCACCCACTTATCCAACGCACTCAACTACCCTGCGCAGGTCTTCATCATCGATTCAGAGATGCAGTCGTCCACCCCGGAGCTGATCAGATTGACCAAACGACCGCTTCCTTGCGATCTGCACTTGTTCAATCTCAGAACTCAACCCGACTACGAATACTCACAATTTCCGTCTAACAGTGCTTTGCTCCTGTTCCATAGGCAGGGCTACGACTGTTCGGTGAGTCCGAACTATACCTGCGCCGTAACTAAATTAGAAAAAGACAATTATTTTGAATTAGTTAATGTTAAGGAAATGGAATTGAAGTCTCTGACTGGACTGGACACTCTTCGTAAATTGAATTATTTAGGTGAATTGTATATAGAACCGATGTCTCTCAAGACCTTAAATGTAACCTTTGGATAATTTGATGTGATTTTCTAGATGAATTTATCTCACTGAATAAAAATAATAAGATTGGAGTACACCAATGAAATTAGCAAGATCACGAAAATGTTGAAATATTGCTGACTTAAATTCTGGTTAAAGGACGACGCTCACTGAATCGACTCGGACCGGTCGACTCAACTAAGAGCTATCGGCAGATTTTGGTATACATAGAAATAAATGTTATCATCAGACCGGACCCGACCGATAATTACATTTATTTCTAGGTATACCAGAACCTGTCGATAGCTTTTAGTTCTTCTTAATCGTGGTGTTCGATTTTTTAACTCGTTTTAGTATACAGAGTGGTCCAAATTTTATTCTGGAACTTTTCCAGCATATTCTGCAGATAAAAATTAGTAAAAAAGTTCGTACAAACTTATGTCCTAAAATGCTTTGTTTAGGAGATACAGGGTGTTAAAATTTCATTTTTATTTCGATGTTTTCAAAATGATTTTTGAACTAATGTCGATATTTGTATCAAAATTAGTGTCTTGGTGTTTTTTGTGAAATGAGAAATTTGATTTCGATGTTAATAGGAGTCCTGCTTGTAGGGGGCACCACCTATGTATTTTCTAATTAGTTTAAAAAGAAACAATTTTTTGTCCGTACATATAAGACGTAATAGAAATACCGAGTGAGAAAATATACATTTTTATCATTTTTTATGTAAAAAACGCCTCTTGATAAAAACTGCGAAAAAATACGAATAACCGTTCTCAAGATATTTGCTTCTCAAGAAATTATCAATACATGTTGACTAGATAGCTATTTGACTGAAATGGTAAATTTGGAAACTTTTTATTGAAACCTTTTTAAGGATAAAAAACGGCGGAATTGAATATTTTTTCACTCAGTGGTTTTATACAGGTACGGACGAAAAGTTATTTCTTTTTAAATCATTTAAAAAATATGTAGGTAGTGCCCCCTACAAGTAGGACCCATATTGACATCGAAATCAATTGTCCCATGTCAAAAACTCCCAGATACTAATTTTCATCCAAATGTCGACGTTAAATATTATTTATTACCCTGTATCTCCGAAACGAAGCGTTTTGTAGGTACATACATTTATATCAACTTTTCTACTTATTTTTATCTGCAGAATATGCTTCCGAAGTTTCCCGAATACAATTCGGACCACCCTGTAGAGCTGGGTTCACTAAAAGTTTGCTACTTTACATTGAAAAATGGGTGAATATAAAAATAATATTTGAGTCCCTTCTTATTTATTTTATTCAATGATTTATGTGTAGATAATTTCTAACCAATATTTGTATATAGGAATTAAATTAAGTAGATAAATGACAAGACAATTCCTATGGTTTTATGTGATTTTCTGTCTTATGTATAAACGTAATTTGTTTTAGTCATATTTAGACGATGTAACATTTTATATTTACTATTATTTTGTCTGTGTTTTAGATTGTAGGTGTAACTAATTCCAATATTTTTAACTATTAGTCTATTTTATTTATTTATATTTTAGATTCTGTTTCCTAAATACTCTGAAATTCGGTCACCCGTAAATTGATAGGCTAGTTGTAATCTTCTAGTTGAATACATATTGTATTTGGTTATTTAAAATTGCAAAATATGACAACTAAACTAATTAAAGTAAAACAAACAGCTTTTCATCCTGACGTTTTAAACAGGTTCATTGGCGTATACAATGAAGAGAGATTTGCCTCATTGAATATACTACAAAATACAATAAAAAAAAGGGTCAGAGTTGGCTTGGCCACACCTCTGTGTCACTTTATACGTAAAATTATATGTTATGTTGAATGTCGTTGATTGTCATTTCCAAGCCACCTTGACGCCGTTTTTTTTACCATACTACAAACTTATATTTAATATTTTTTAGTCTGTTTTTAATATATAACATCCCATAAAAACCATTGCGTACACCACTAAATAAATTTAAAATACAATATGACCGAAAAAAAAACGGCGTCAAAGATGAGGATATAATGAAGATCGCTGTCATTTTATATGTCAAATTATACGGAGAATGTGTGTGTGTGTGTGTGTCAATGATATTCATTTCCAAGCCAACTGGACGCTGTTTGTTTTTCAATCATACGGTATATTATTGAATATTGGACTTTATACAGGGTGTCCCAATATTCCGTGGATACAGAACTACTACGTATTTTTAGAATCAATTCATTGGACACAATTTACTTCTATACAAAAGTGCTTCGTTTGTCCGCCAGAGGACATCAATGTTTAAAAAAATTACAATTTTTCAGATATTTAAAGAACAGTTATTCCGATTTGAATGAGATTTTGGGTGTCTATGCATTGTGTGCTTTATCATTTGGCTTAAAAATCATTGGAAGTCATCTTTGGATTTTTTTTTCCTGAAAAGTATGCATGGTGGCGTTTTTTACAAGAGACAGAAAATGTAGTAAATACTAGAGGGACCATTTTAAGAAAAGAGAATTGGCCGTCGGTAGAGTTGGAAAATATTTATACTAAAATTTGTGTAGGGGTGGGGGTAGTTTTTACCCTTCCTGTACTTTTTCTTGATTTTTGTGGAAGTTAAATGTTAAAGCACTTGCCAAAATATAGACACCCAAAATCTCATTCAAATTGGAATAATGGTTCTTAAATTATCTGAAAATTGTTAGTTAATTAAAAGTTAGATGCCCTCTAGCGGACAAATGAAGCACTTAGAGAGAGAGGTAAATTGTGTCCAATGAACTTATTTTGATTCCAAAAATACGTAGTAGTTCTATCTCCAGGAAATATTGGGACACACTGTATAAGGGATAATTGTCAATTATAAAAATACTGTTGATGTATATTTTATTAATTGACATGTTTAAGTTTTATTATGATATACAGGGTGGTCCGAACTGTATTCCTGAAACTTCGGCAGCATATTTTGTAGATAAAAATAAGTAAAAAAGTTCGTATAAATGTATGTCCTAAAATGCTTAGTTTCGGAGATACAGGGTGTAGAAGTTTCATTTTTATTTCGATTTTTTCCAAATAATTTCTGAAGTAACGTCAATATTTGGATGAAAATTGGTTTCTGGGTGTTTTTTAACATGAGATATGTGATTTTGATGCCAATATGACTCCTACTAGTAGAGGGCGCCACCTACATATTTTTTAACCGGTTTGAAGAGTAACAACTTTTTGTACGTACCTGTATAAAACTACTGAGTTAAAAAATATACATTTACGACGTTTTTTTACGTGAAAAAGGTCTCTTGGTAATTGAAATCCGAAATTAAGCATTTTAGGACATTATTACGACCTTTTTTACTTATTTTATCTGCAAAATATGCTGCCGAAGTTTCCGGAATACAGTTCGGACCACCCTGTATATCAGAACCATAAACATATAAAAGATGCAATGAAATACTGTATTATCGAAAAAGGCGTCGATATATCTTAGAAATGGCTATTAATTTGTGTAAAACTTATATATTTTCATTTCTGAGAGAATTTCAACCATTTTTTTTCCATCATGCGCTATGTATGTTTTTTGTATTTACGTTTTTTTTTAGAATTTAGAATGAGTGGGAGGGGGGTTAATCACTTCGACCTTACAGATCCATTGTGTCCCCCTTTCTTGAATCATAACTCATCATACAGTCCCAGGGCTTTGACAAAAGCCAGTATCTGGGACGGTTTTATAGGGGGTAGTTCTCCATCTCCAATATCAGTCATACCAAAATTCATGGCACGAATGGTTGTCGTCTCGGCGCACTCAGTGATGAGGTGTACTGGTGTTTTTACGTTACTTTTATATTATTACTTTTTAATTAGGTATTACATTCCTACTACTTTTTACTGTATGTAGAAATTCAGTATATCAATATTTATAATTTTCTACATAAAAGGACTGTTATTTCTTTTTATCTTATATACAGGGTCGTCTTTCAGAATATCTTATGTTTTTCAATAATTTTATTGTCTCTATACTCTGTGTAAAATATATTTGAATGGGTCCAGGGGAAATACATGATAAGCGCCATTTTATCAATTTTGCAGGAGAGTACTGGACGGCTGGTAGTTATCAGGTCCTTTTCGTGTATTCTATTTTTTTACTTTGCCTATATCATAGGATCTAACAACTTATTGCCCTGCAGAGTTTATACATTTTGTAGGGACCAGTTATACCTACTATAATATTCTAAAATCCTAAAATTAAGAAATTGGTGCTTATCAAATTTTTCCCGTGGACCCTTCATTTTTGATTGACAGTTTATGGGTGACCAAGTTTATGTATAGTGAATACATAATAATAGGAAATACAGTGGTCCTAGAAATTCTGAGTCATGATTAAAATTGAGATATGAAGTTGTCAAAAATTAATATTAAATGTAGTTAAAATTATAAACACACAAATTAAAATTAAAAACATAAATCTATTTTGAAAATATGTATATTGTATACCCAACATGGGCATACTTCACATTTTTCATTTTATCTATTTTTCTTTTAAATATTAATATTTGACAAGTTTTTATGTGAAATTTTAAGAAATTATTAACATTTTAGATCGACAATGTAACGCTATTTTATTTATATTTAAATTAATTTATCTTGGGCTTAGATTAGTATTTATTTGGTACAAATTTATTAATACATACCTATACCTAAGTAGAAACAAATTATTGATATGAAATGGGGACAGGTCTGAAAAGAGTAGTCTGAACTGCAGATACCGTATGATCGAGAAAAAAAAGAGTCAAGTTATTTTGGAAATGACGATCGATGACATTCCGCATATGAAATGACAGTGATCTTCATCTCCCAAGGCAACTGTTATACCGTTTTGTTTTGATCATATGGTAGGTAAACAGAAATAGCACAGATTGAGTCTATAATCTGTGGTAGTACTTTGAGATTATTTTATGTTTTCTGTATTTTATTCCCAGGAAGCGATAGCCTCATCTATTCTATTTTTTAGAAGAAAAATGAGAAATTATATGAATGTACATCATTCATCATTATTGTTTATGTAACAATATTTTCTTTATATTTTTGTTGTATCTTGTTTAATTATTACCTACCTGTACATTTTTTTTATATCTGCCACTTTTTTACTAGGAATTTTGTTATTTCCATATCACAAACAAATGTTTATTTTTTATATTAGTTAATTATCTCTGTTGCCAGTAAATTATATAGCTTTTTTACAGATTCCTATATATTCATTATTCAGTGTCTATATAAAGATAACCGATACTATATTATGTAATTTTGTAAATTTGATGTGTGCATTATTTTTTTATAGGAAAAACAGATAAATTGACTGATTATAGTATAATTTTATATTTATAGTTTATTGTTTTCTAGATCTGCCTTCTTCTATATAATAAAATTTCTTTATAGTAATAAATATTTTTTGGGTAATATTTATTTTATTTCGTTATTCAACGATTTTCCCCACCCAGAAACTTTTCTTAACAAAAAATCAGAATTATTTTTTTTCTTCTTTACTCACTGGTCGTCTTGTAAAATAAATCCTTATAAAAGTAACTTATTAGATTTTGGTTTTAAGTGTAATATTTATACTTGCATACAGTACTTACTTACTGCCATTACTCGCTGACGAGTATTTGACACGCATCAGAAGATGGTTACGCAAAGCGTTTTCTTTCATGAGTTTTTCTATAACTGAAAAGACCGATACGTGATGTTATCTCTCTTCGGCAGTCCGGACATTCAAAAATCTCATTGCTTTATTGCCTCTTTACTTTTTGGTTGTCGCTGTTAACTGAGTTTACATTAAGTTTACAATTCTCCATTGCGTTCTATTGTGCGCTGCTTCCTTCCACTGATTCTGCATGCTTATCCCCTAGTTTTCGTGGAAAATATCCTTGTACCTTTTGAGTTGCCCACCCGGCCTCCTCTTATAGACGGAAAGCTGGCTACATAAAAGACCTTATCATCGTTACATGGCTGATTTTTTGTGTGAAGTATCCTTTTGTGTAGC